TATATATATATATGTCGTACCTAGTAGCCAGAACTCACTTCTCAGCCTACTATGCAAGGCCCGATTTGCTTAATAAGCCAAGTTTTCATGAATTAATGTTTTTTTCGTCTACCTAACCTACCTAACCTAACCTAACCTAGCTTTTTTTGGCTACCTAACCTAACCTTAAATATATATATAGGTTAGGTTAGGTTAGGTAGGGTTGGTTAGGTTCGGTCATATATCTACGTTAATTTTAACTCCAATAAAAAAAATTGACCTCATACATAGTGAAAAGGGTAGCTTTATCATTTCATAAGAAAAAATTATAGTAAATAAATTAATTCAGGAAAACTTGGCTTATTAGGCAAATCGGGCCTTGAATAGTAGGCTGAGAAGTGAGTTCTGGCTACTAGGTACGACATATATATATATATACATATATATATATATATATATATATATATATATATATATATATATATATATATATATATATGTATGTATGTATGTATGTATGTATCTATATTGTATGTATAATATGTATGTATGTATATATATATATATATATATATACATACATACATACATACATACATACATACATACATACATACATACATACATACATACATACAGACATACATACATACATACATACATACATACATACATACATACATACATACATACAGTGTATCGTAAAACAGCCGGTGCAGGAAAATGTACGAACGGAAAGAGTGAATGAACTAACAGGTATAAGAGAAGCGTCATAAATGCGTATTTTGGTCGTGCAATACGTACATGCTCTTCTTAGCAGTTCTTGCACCACGAACTTAAGCGAATCCGCCAAATTATTGTGAACAACGAATACAGCAATACAAAATTCAACAAATTCGTATATAAGAAGCTAGGCGGCATCTGACTGAAAATAATCTGGCCCCAGGGGAGGATAATCGGCCCCTACCCCTAAGGAAGACATTATAGTGTATTATAAAAATACATTTACTCAGGCACATAAGAAGGATGAAAAGGTATTACAAGATATAATTGAAAAGAATTGTAAACCTTGCAGTGAAAACGCAAGGATTCGTCCAATCATTTATTATAACAACCCTCGTATAGTTTCCTTCATTGTGAGGAATAACATCTCTGCCTCCTGTGACAAACTGAGGTGTACTAATGTAGTGTATCAACACAAATGCAGTTCTGGAGACTGTGAGCTCCGAAATATATGCCACATTGGACATACCACGTCACTGAGTAGAGGTCGGTACACTTCATTTGCAAGGGGGAGGTATTAAGCAACATCATTTTCAACACTACAACACCTTCCGGCATCTTGGGCACGAGTCCAACCTCGAAAGAGTTCGAAGAGGTGTTTGACTTGCAACAATGATCGAGTCTGTCTGTGACATTTATTAATGCATCCCGTTGGTGTGTTTTCTCATTTTACATGTTATGGTCGTGTTGTTTATGTGTTACTGCCACATGTTGTAGTCATGTAATCATGTACAATAAAGTTGCCCAGGCTATATATACACATGGTCCCCGGGTTGTATATACAGATCCAAGCGAATATTTACGCGCCACAAGTCACAAGAGACAATAATAACGACAGCTTCAGACCGAATACCCGCGTCGGAAATTGTCATCAGATCCCACGATGAAGAGAAAGGATAATATCATTGAACAAATTATTAACCAGTGTGAAAAATGAAGATTAACACTATTTGCATAATTGTACAATAATTCAATATGCATCAGACACTCCAGCGCTGCCAATCTGGAGAGCCCTCACCCGTCCGCCCCCTCATCCCAGCCTCAACACTTAACTTTCATAAACAGGATTTGTTCTGTTGCATATGAATAAAAAAGTTGCTAATAATAATAATAATAATAATAATGATAATAATAATAATAATAATAATAATAATAATAATAATAATAATAATAATAATAATAATAATAATAATAATAATAATATAATAATAATAATAATAATAATAATAATAATAAGAATAATAATCCCTTCGATCTTACATGGGTCAGCAAATAGATGATTTCAAGATGGCATTCAACAGGGCTCCAGCTAATGAGCGAATCATTCCGGTGCTCAACTGCGCCAGGCAGAGGGAAAATAAACACATTTTTGCCCTAAGGAGGAATTACACCAATTGGAAAAACACGCCGGCCTTTGAGAAGAATAATTAGGATAGGATACTACTTTTTTTTTATTCAGATTTTTATTTATTAATTGAATGGTTTTGTGCATTACGATATAGAAATATCTAATGTAAGCCAGTATATTAAGCTTATTTTTTTACTTTGGTATGTAATTAGCTTGTTTTTGTATCTACATAAAAAATTGAAGAGCGCCGGCATGCCTTTGATCGTCGTCGTGGTGGCGAGGACGCTACAATTAACTGATATTTGTTATTTGGTTTTAACTTCTTTCTTTGATATCTCTTGACGCGTTTCCTTATCAATACAGCTTTTGTTGTTGTTTTAGAGCTGCTTGTGCCACGTCCTGCGTGTGATGAGGCCGGACACACAAGCTGCCATAATCAGTAAAAAGTTATATTTATAGTGCTATATGCAGTGCTTGTTGTGGTATGTGTAGTAGTAGTAGTAGTAGTAGTAGTAGTAGTAGTAGTAGTAGTAGTAGTAGTAGTATAGTAGTGGTAGTATTTTATGTGAGTGAGAGAGAGAGAGAGAGAGAGAGAGAGAGAGAGAGAGAGAGAAGAGAGAGAGAGAGAGAGAGAGAGAGAGAGAGAGAGAGAGAGAGAGAGAGAGACGAGAGAGTGAGAGAGTGAGAGAGTGAGAGAGTGAGAGAGAGAGAGAGAGAGAGAGAGAGAGAGAGAGAGAGAGAGAGAGAGAGAGAGAGAGGAGAGAGAGAGAGAGAGAGAGAGAGAGAGAGAGAGAGAGAGAGTGAGAGAGTGAGAGAGAGAGTGAGAGAGGTGAGAGAGAGAGTGAGAGTGAGAGAGAGAGAGAGTGAGAGAGAAGAGAGAGAGAGAGAGAGAGAGAGAAGAGAGAGAGAGAGAGAGAGAGAAGAGAGAGAGAGAGAGAGAGAGGAGAGAGAGGAGAGAGAGAGAGAGAGAGAGAGAGAGAGGAGATAGAGAGAGGAGAGAGGAGAGAGAAGAATATAGGATATGTATTAGCTGTTGCTATGTTGCTAATGTTGCTAATAGAGAATAACAACTCGTGACTCGCAGTTTCATTAGAATAACCTAACCAATAACCTAACCCAATGCCTTTTTGGGTAACAAATGAGAAAAAGATATAAAACAAGAAAAAGAGAACAATGCGAGGAACTCATGAAACAAAGACAGGCATGAGGAATAACTGATATTATAACCAGATTAAGACAACTACAGACTCATAAGTATAAGTTATGTCAATTTTCTAAGCACGGGAATGTAGTTGAAGGGAGTGTTTGGCGGAGAACTCCTTACACAAAACAGAGCGTATGTGGTTTACATGTAAAGTTTGGTTTGGCTACCAGCGCGGTGCCTCCAGGCTCCTGGTAGGTCCAGCCGGATGCCAGGTTTTATAATCTTTAGTGTATGTGGTTCAGGATCAACCAGGCTATGATTCATACGTCAGGCTGCGAGCAGCCGCGTCCAACAGCCTGGTTGACCAGTCCAGCAACCAGGAGGCCTGGTCGACGACCGGGCCGTGGGGACGCTAAGCCCCGGAAGCACCTCAAGGTAACCTCAAGGTAAGGTGCGCGTCTGGGGTGACCCAAGACACACGTGCCTTCCTTGTCCTCCTTCGTAGAGTTTCTCACCAGGAAAGTTGTAGAGGGCGACACTCTATACGCAAACAAACGAGACTGAGTAACAGTGTCTTTAGATAAACAAATAAAAAGAAATACCAATGGTAGATAAACGGGACTGGGGGCTAATAATGCTTTATAAAGGGCAGTAACGTATGTGAACGGGAAGCAACAGGGAGGGAAGGAGCGAAAACAACAGTAATTATAGGATACGTTTGGTATAGCCCAGACACGAGACTGAGTTATGGCAACTATTGTTAAACAGATGATAGAAAATAGTAAAAATAATTTTAACTGGGCATTATTTAGTGAAGATAGAAGGTAAACGGGTATAACTTATTGAAAATTTGTAGATTAACGAGAGTCGATCAATGCATATGGTACTCAAAAGGAATAATTTTGTCATAGTTGTTAGATAACCGGAATTATTTTGTGAAAATTAGTAGATATGCTGAAATATTTTAGCGAAAATTTGCAGATAAACTTGAATAATTTAATGAAAATTGGCTGATAAACGGGGAATAAATTTGTGATACTTGATATGTAAATAGGTATTTATGCTGTAAAAATGACAGGTAAAGGAATGTAACAAAAGTAAGTAAATAAACGGGAAAGATTAACATGACAACGACTTAAAACAGTATCCAAGAGAGCGTCAAACAAATGACTATGCAATAGAACCGAATACAACAGCAAATCACAGTGTTATTTTTATAGTTACAGCAATGAACCATGGAAATCAATGTTATAATACAATAATGTTTCAAAAATACATTACACCTCAGTAGCCAATAAGGCTCTAGAAGCAGGGGAAACAAGCGGTCGGGGTGTAACAACTACTGCAGTCAAGGTTCTGTAACACATATGTTAGTAACCATAAACGCAAGATGCATTATGCTCTGTAACTACTGTAACAGTGCCCGACTCAGCAAGCTCTACTACTCAGGAAATGTCAATACGTATCGAGCACTACAATAAGAGGAGACAATGAGAGTCAAGCTCTGTAAGAGAGGACAATGTACAGCAAGCTCTGCCCTCTACAGGAAAATGGGATAATGCGCAGTAATTTCTATCATCTACAGCAAGAGGAAGGGAGAAGGGAGTAATACGCAATAAGGTCTACCCCTTTCCAGCATGGGAGTGGATGGGGTGCAATACGCAGGAAGGTCTACAGCATGAGGGTAAGGAAGCATTACGCATTAAGCAACAGAGGGGAATACAATACGCAGAAAGCTCTACCAAC